TTTTTTTAGCTGAGCCATCCTGCTACCTGTTGGCAGCTCAGCGGCTGCTCAGCTCGGGCTGGACACGAACCGCGGTTGCTCAGAGCTCAAACTCTTGAGCGAGCTCTTAATCAACTGAGCCATTCGGCCAGCCCTAGCAATCTACACTTTAAACAACATGCTCCCCAGTCTTCTGGTGAATCCTAAACACATGTATTATAGTTTGGAAAACGTTGGAATAACGAGTTTAATGATTTTCAGGACCCAAGGCAAGCTGCCCCAAAATAATCCACAATGGCATATTATTTCTAACTTAAATCACCTGAGAAGCAGGAAGAGTTCTCTGACTCACCTCTGTTCCCCTAAAAGCAGGAAATAAATCTCCACGCTAGGTACCCTCATGGCTCCTGAAGGGCTGGGAGACAAACTTACCACAAGTCATAAAATTCAACATCTTTACTAATTACTACCTGTGCCCAAACATTGTTTAGATTCGTCACAAACGAATACCCAAACCTTGCTTAGATTATTTTCTAACGAGTACTAACTTTCTTTGTCCTGTCAATTTCTTACAAATTTGTTTTTGTCTACAAAGTATTAAAAAGGTGCCTAGTTCAATCATTTCTTTGAGCCTCAATTTATGATCTGTGCATCATATTGTCATTCTCCTGTGTGCACATATTAAATTGTTTTTTCCTGGGCCGGCCAAGTGGCTCATTGGTTAAGAACTGGCTTGGGACGCCAGAGGGCCCCGGTTCAGATCCCATATATGAGGGCCAGTGATGCTGCCCTCTACAGATAAGATGCTGAACAACAGCTCAACCTGGAGCTGGGTTGCCATGAGTCGCCAGTGATGGCATAGGCTGCAGCCCCTGCTGCAGTGGGTTGCCATTGGCTACCGTGTGTAGCCAGCAGCCAGGGTGAGCGGCCCTCAAGCCACCGTGAGTGGCTGTCCAGAAGCCCGCGACTGATCTGCCTCGCCTGGGAAGAGCACAATGATGGTGCCAACTTGGGCCAGTGATGCAACGTCCTCCACAACTAGACTGAAGAACAAAAAGACAGCAACTTGTCTGTTCCCTTCCCCCAATTCCCCAATAAAAATTAAAATAAATAAATTGTTTTTTCCTCCTGTTAATCTAGTCTTGTGTCAGTGTTATTATTTTATAATTAGTACAGCCAGAATAACTAAAGAAGGGTAGAGTGGAGGAATTCTCCTGCTCCCCAACATGATCCACAGATGAAGCATAAAATAGGGTAGAGATGGAGACAAAAAGCATTTTCCTCCCTAGTTGTCCAGACGGGGGGGGGGGGGGGGGGGGGGGGGGGGGGTCATTTTACAGTATCTGGAACTACCAATTGGACAACAAAGTAGTAAGTGGGCTTTGGTGTACTGATAGTGTTAGGTTCACGGCTCCTTAACAAAACTTGCCTAAAAGATTTTTCGTTCCAAAGATTTTATGACCAGACCTGGGACCGTCTCTCAAAGGGAGAGATCAGCAGCTAAGTCTTGGTGGGTAAGGAATTTATAGCTGAAGCTAGATACAGAAGCAAAAAAAAGCAGTTAGTGTGTAAAAAGGAAAAAATGGTTAGTTTATCTTATTTTAACAAACTATAAAACACAGTTAGGTTATTATTTTTAACGAGCTAATACATAACTTGCTTATCTTCTTGACGGGCTATAAAACATGACTTGTTTATTTTTTCCTAACAAGCTACCCAACTTATCTTTTCCCTAATAAGTAAGCTATAAAGCATACCTAGCTTATCTTTTCCTATTCTCTTGACAAGATACTTTGCTAACTTTTGCTGAAGCAGAAGTTTCTTTCATTCCTCTGGGCGGGGGCCCTAGCCTAGGGTCTGGGCCTGGGTCCCTACATTAGGCCACTGCCATGCCCAGCTCCCATAGGCTGAGAGCTTTATAAGCAGAGCAGTGAACGTCGTCGGTTCATAGACACTGGGCCCAGCACACGGAAGGGGACTGGGAATCAACCACATTCCAATCAGAATGGTATCCAATTCTCTTTTTAGGCTTTTGGGTTTTTGTTTTTTTCTTCCCTGATCAAAAAGTAATACAGGAGAAGATGGGAAAGCTCTTCCTTCAGTAGAATGCAATGTAATAAATGAAGAAGGGACAACAGAGTTAGAAAAATCACCATTTTGCAACTATCATAGTGATAATTGTGTCATTAATCATCAGTGAATGTCAAAACCAACTGTGTGGGCCAACCGAGTAGTACCCCTCACCCCCAAAGAAAGACTTTTAAGTTTTCTTTCCTATAGAAATGTTAAGTCTCCTCCAAAGTTCCTTAGTTTCTGAGCCCCAGGCTTCGATTACTCTTCTCCTCAGTCTGTGAATCCTAGACTAAAGATTGCTCCTAGCCTGAATCATAAAATTCTCCTATCCCCTCTGCGACTTGATTGTTTTGTAAATCAGTTTCAGAATCCTAAACAATAGATTGTTCCTACCTTTGCTTCAGATAACTACTTGAAAGCCTGTGACTTCCTAATATCCCCCAGGACAGTAAACTAAATGCCAAACCCATTCTGGGCCCAGACAACTGACACCACCTGAGTGACAGGCTGAATGGCCAAAGGCTTCATGAGAGCTAACAGAGTATTTAAAATCTATTTTTCCTCATTCAGGGGCCTTCGGGATACAGAGGATAATACCCCAGCAAGATTGCCAGTCACAGCCAAAGAAGCCCAACACGGTCTTCCAGGTGGAGCTGAGACCTCTTCCTCTCATCTGAGATCAGATAGGGTGAGAGTTCCGTGAATCCCCCAATAGGCATATAGCTCTATGCCTCTGCCCAGCAGGAAGCAGATACTGAAGAAGAGGCCTCCTGTCATGCAGATTCCCAAAGAGATTTTATGGGGATCACGTCTCACAAAGATAAAACAAGGTAGGCAGTTAGAGGCAGGCATTGGGTTTCTGCATTCCTACATGTCCCACAGAATGCGACTGTCCAGGAGACCTGCCCTCTCCACCCAAAACTCCCCCTTTGTATTGTAATTATCTACCCCTGCGGTAAAACAAATGGGCACAAAATACTCAACTAAATCAGATCAGTTATTCGCAACTGCGCAATACCTCTTGTCAATCAATCACAGGTGCCAATCAAGTGGTCCCACGCCCAAAGGGGAACAGCCCATTCTAGAGAAAAAGGGATAAAAACTCCAAGTCCTGGGAAGTCTGCCTTTTTGGACGGCTTCTCCCTTTTTTTTGGACCCCCTTCCTCCCTTTTTAAGCCTTTTGAGCCTCGCCTTTGCACGTGGCCCGCTCCAAACTCTGAAATGTGATTTCTCTTCTGATGGGCCCTTGAGCCATCCTCTACTGCTCGGGCCCACTTCTATTTCTTTAAAGTGTATTATCTCTTCTAATAAACTGCTTTTTCACTACTTTGCCTCGGTATCTCATTCAATTCTTTGCTCAAGATGCCAAGGACGGGGATATCGCGCCAAGAAGGGCCCACTCTCCAACAACAGAAGTATGTCAAACAAAGAGAACTTAGAGTGGAGCAAATGAACAGTCAGGAACTGGAAACAGTAAGTGGAGCAGTGCAAACTGGCTAGACCATAGTCAGCTTGAAGGGGGTAATAGGAGATGGGTGGAGTCTTGAAAAACCTTAGTTGTAACCTGTCTAAGGTATTTAGACATCACTCCACAGGCAATAAAGAGTTGCTGGATATAGATGCATGCACATATAAACTTGTAAGTCAAATACTAACAAAACAAAACAAAAAACAGTCGCTGGGGCCGACCGAGTGGCGCGATGGTTAAGAACTGGCTTGGGACGCCAGAGGGCCCCGGTTCGGATCCCACATATGAGGGCCAGTGACACTGCCCTCTACAGCTAAGATGCTGAACAACAGCTCAACCTGGAGCTGGGCTGCCATGAGTTGCCAGCGACGGCATAGGCTGCAGCCCCTGTGGCAGTGGGTTGCCATGGGCTACCATGTGTGGCCAGCAGCCGCAGTGAGCAGCCGTCCAGAAGCCGGCGACTGATGTGCCTCGCCCGGGAAGAGCACAATGATGGTGCCAACTTGGGCCAGTGAAGCAACGTCCTCCACAACTAGACTGAAGAACAAAACAACAGCAACTTATCTGTTCCCCTTCCCCCAATTCCCCATCACTGTTCCCATCCCCCCAATTCCCCAATAAAAAA